ATTACTTTCTGCGCTCCTTGGCACCCGAGCATGGATATAAAGTCATCAGGTGGATTTCAATGGTAATGTTTTTCACATCTACTAATTATTAAGGAGCAAATTTTTATGCTTTGAAGAATTATTTTTTTAAGTTTTTAAAAAATGTAGTAACCACATGATTAGAAGAAGCATTTCATTACAGCTTTAACATGTTCAGTAACATACTCCAGAGCAAGGATACATCTCTTTCAAAAGTGGCTGTGAATTTTTAGGTTCACAGTTGAATTAATAGTTATACAATATTGAACTCAGTATAAATCCTGCAAGATATAAAATTAGATGGGTTTTTACCCTTTAAAGAGTATCTCCATTTCAAGATATGCTGTTTCTTACATTTTTAAAATATTATTTTTAAATTTTTTTAGAAGAAGATTAACATTACCACTTTAACATGTCCACTAACAGTTTCCAGAGCAAAGACCCAGCTCCTTCAAAAGTGGCTATATAATTTCTAGGTTCACTGTTGAATCAATGCAGTTCTACAATATTGAATTTGGTATAAGCCCTGCAAGACATAAAACTGAATGAGTTTTTAACCCTCAAAAAAGATCTCCATTTCATTCTAAAATATACTGTTTCTTATAGAAAGATTAATTGTTTTTGCTACTAACACTGAGATGTTGGCACATGCATCTCTAATCTGTATGTATCTGATTATTACTATTCATAATCACTTGCACTTGGATCCTTGGCCCCTGTGTATGTCTATAAAGTCATCTGGTAGATTTCAGCGGTAATGTTTATCACCACTACTAATTAACATGATGTAAACTTTTATGCTTCCTCCTCAAATAGAGTACATTTTTTAAAATTTGTTGATTTTTTTGTGTTTGTATATCACACAGACCACCCCAAACCATCTTATTCAACTATACACCCGCTTCCCAGATGGCACTGTCCCATAGCCTCCCTCCCCCGACTAGAGCCCTTATACTCTGTTATCCCTGCTACTGTCCACTGTGTTGTCTGCATCCCAGCAGTTCCCCACTACTTGTC